TACCATAAAGTTCTTTAGTAGCACGAAATAGTGAAAAATATTGAATACATGTGTATTTAATATTAAAAAGACATTAAATCTGTTTTTAATTTTAAATACACATGTATTCAATATTTTTCAATATTTCGTGCTACTAGGGTTGTGCTCGTTTGTAAAATACAAAAGAAAAACAGACAATAATTTTGTCAATATAAATTGTCATCGTTATTTATGACTTCTTGACAGTTTGATAGCAATTTGTATAATCACATTTTTTAGAAAAAAAAAAAAAAAAAAAAAATACCTTATCCCTAGAGGCCAAAAATTGAACCCAGTGTTTGTTTGAACGGACAAAACTTTCCAATAGGAATATATATATATATATATATATATGTATTTATATCTTTTTGTATCAAAAAGAAATAACAAACAAAAAAAAATCTTATAAAAATGTATAGAAGTCACGGTTCGAATATATCAATGCATATGCATATGCGTATTTGTGTGTATGTGTTAGACCATCGAGAGACATTGGGCGTTCACGTGACTCGGTCGCACGTTTGACATCATTGTGTGTCCTTTCTTAAAGATGAAGAGTAGGAGTTGGAGGAGGAATAGGAGGAGGAGGAGGCTCAGGGGACCCCATTGTTCAGCCGAGCGTGTGAATCTTCGGCGTTGCGGGCAGTGCACCCTCTCACAAATAATAACATTTGCGGACACAAACGATAAATAAAAGGGCTCGAGCCGAAATACCCACCGGACTGCTGGCGCCACTTAAAACTCGTCGTACTTTGGTCGTCTTTACGTATCCGACCACACCGACGTATCCTTCCTCTCCTCTCCTCTCCTCTCTTATCCTGTCCTGTCCTGTCCTCCCCTTTTCTCTTCATCCTATCCCAGTTTTTACAACGTTACAGCGAAATCGAGTTCGAGTTCGAGTTCGAGTTCGAATACGAGTTGAAAAATCTTCGTACGTGAGCATTAATCGTAAGTGAGATGCCGTGAAATGAGGTTTGATCGAAAGAAGATAAAGATAAAGAGGAAAAGGAAATCAAAAAAGATAGTAAGAGAGTAAGAGACAGAGAAAGAGAGAGAGAGAGAGAGAGAGATGGATATTCCTTGTCACGTTGACTTTGTATGCTCAACGTTGAAAGTGAGCTTCCACGTTGTACGCGTAATCCCTTCGAGCACTGGGAGTCAGGATATATGTATAAAGGGATGAGTAAAAAACTTGAAAGAATAAGGGAAGAGAGAAAGAAGAGGATATATGCAAGCACAGCATGTTGAGAAGGGGAAAGGGGGTGAAAGGGTGCTGGAGAATGAGAGTTTCAGGTGGCCATTTAAGGCTCGGACATTTCGTTCTGTCACCGCGTTCCGTGTTCACCGTCGACCGTTTGCAAGGAGGCCACCTACGCGCGCTGGTGGTCCATGCTTGCATTGTTTTATAAACGGCCGCCATTTCTCATGATAAGCAGAGTAAAACGAAGCTAGAAACGATAGTTTTCTTTTCGCGAATCTCCATTGCCCTTGCGAGCGAGCCCTGTACTCTACGCGCGGTGGTGGTACTCCTTATCCTATTTCTTTCACTTTCTTTTTCGTTATTTATGATCTTATTGTTTAATTTCATCATAGTCGAAAGAATTTTCTATCCTTTGGGGCAATCTTTGAAAGAAAAAAAAAAAAAAAAGAAACAATTATATTACGAAAGTAAGTAATTTCGATTAGTTAAGGGGTTAGGATAAATGATAATTATTTTCCGTGTTTGAATTCGTTATGCCATTAAATTGTCTTTGTTGCTTTTCAATCGTTCATACATCATCTCGTGTGATATGTGTGTCTCTGTGTGTGTATGTATGCACGTAAGATTGCATTAGCAAAGTTGCATAGATACATTTATAGATATGTATATTATATGCATGTAATGTAGATAGAATACTTTCGGTTGCATAATTTTGCTTTGGGAAGCAAAATAGAAAGAAAAGTATTGGCTGCTTCCTCCTCCACCTCCTCCTCCCCCTCCTCTTCCACCTCCTTCTCCACCTCCTGCTCCTCCTCCTCATCTATTTTCCACGCGTTTGGTTTCTTACTTGAGATCATTCATGCTACCCAGGGCTATTAATTAATATGTATGCGATGCGTAATCTTTATTACAGTCTCTTTAGATGTCTCCTTCGTGTTCTTCTAAGGTTCATACCGTTATATAGGAACGTGAACGTAACAAACGTCACGAAGAAAACGTGTGTACGTGTACGTATGTGTATGTGTGTATTAGTGAGATAATTTATAGGCTACTATACCGCGTATCTTGCTGTTGCTGCTAACGGACAAAAGAGAATACAATTTTAACCGGTTCTATATTATAACTTACAATGAACTTACAATGAACTATTGGAAGGGAAAAATCCTTTGTGGATAGATTTTATAATAGAAATCAATGATCTAACAAAAAGCTAGTCTCGATTAAATACTACGGCTTTGTACGGTTTTTAAAAAGGGTTTTCGATCTTTTCATTTAAAGTTCGAAGATTTTTCAATTGAAAACCTTTTTTAGAATGGGAGTGATTTGAAAACAAAAAAAAAAAACGAATGAAAATGCATTGTAACGAATGATATTTTTGTATTTTTTTTTTTTTTTTTTACCAAGGAAAGAACGATATTAATTTTCTTATCGATAGATTTTTTTTAAATGATTTGAATGATTTCAATTATAATATTTATGTAATGAATAATAATAATAATAATAATAATTATATAATGAATATTTATATAATTTTTATACAATAATAAATATTATATAAATTATATTATATATTAATTATTATTATATAAATATATTTATTTAATTAAATTATAAATAATAATAATATAATAATATTTATATAATGAATAATAATAATAATAAT